AAAGTGCACCCAGGGCAGGTGGTCCTGCTTTCCAAACATCTTGGAGGCAGTCATCCTCCCCAACCCTCAATTTTCTTCCCTTTGTGAGCCTGGAAGTCAGGTTGGTTGCTGACCTGTTTGGAAATCCTGTTCTTGAACCTCATTAAGTATGACATATGGGCAGTCCCTTAGAGCTCCTCCCTGAAGGAGGATTGTATTCCAGCCCCAGGACACAAGGATTAGCTCCAGAAGGAGAATCAGTCACCTTATCTGTATTTTGAGCAGGTCACCTCACCCTGTTATGTCCAGGTTAATGACTGAGAATCACTCTTCCTACGGCATGGCTGAGACCAGGTACACAGGTGGTCCGGTCTTCTGACTCCTCGACCTCAACAGCAACCCCCACAACTCCCCTCCCAGGGTGTGGGGTTCATTTTCACACCAAAAAATAGGAAAGAACTGTCTTTCACTCTCTGCTAGCCAGTTTCTGAAGGGGATAAGAAAGGATAAATGCTGGGTTCAGAGAATGAGTGATTCATGTTTGCATTCTGGTGTCTCTTGGTTCTGATTTTTAGTAAAAACAGAAGTTTATTTCTGGAGCTGCTTCACGTTAATTTCTGATTCTGACTCTGTCCATGAAGAGAACTGGTGGTATCCATCATTCTACAGATGTTTCTACTCTAGGCACTGAGGATCCCCTGGCAGTCCTTTGGTTAGGACTCTGTACTTCCACTGCAGGGGGCAAGGGTTGGATCCCTGGTCAGGAAATTAAGATCCCCCAAGCCACATCCCATGGCCAAAAACAAACCAAAACAAAACAGATAAAATCCCTGTGGGTGTGAATGTTACCTTCTAGTGTGACACACAGAGAATAAACAAGATAAATAAGTAAAACATATAATGTGTGGGAATGTGGTCATTGCTAAGGAGAAAAAAATAAAGCAGAAAAAAAAAAAGAGCAGGGATAGAGCTACAAAGTGTCTGTGAACGGAGGAAAAGTCAAGTGCTTGGTCTCTTTGTGTGACTTTGCATTCTTCTCCTGACTTCTCTTCACTGTTTTAATTTGCATTGTCAAAGGAGCTGAAGTCTGTAAGGAGGATCAAGAGCCCAGCAGGTAAGCATACAGGAGGGGCTCAATAAATATTTTTGCTGGAAACAAGTGCTTTACACCTGCAAGGCAGGAAGATGGTGATGACAAGGATGTTTTAAAGGTAAACTGCAGATTCTTGAATTCAGATTCCTCCTCTCCCTTTTCTTTGGATGACAAGTATCCATGGAATATTCCAGCATTTCTCAGTGCCGTCTGTGGGTCCTGAATGTTCTTGGTTTGCTCCCAGACTGTAATTTCAACAAGGGAATATTCCACATACTTTTTTTTTTAAATAACACTGAAAGCACTGTTATGCAATGAACCTCTCCATCCAAAAAAAGACTGGAGGAAAAGCAGAGAGTGTTTTTTGGTTTGGTTTTTCCTTTCCTTTTTTTTTGTGGGGGGAAAGGGACCGTCATGTTTATTGACTGATCCAGAGCCTTCCACACAGAAGGATGCTGACAGGTTCTGGTTATATGGCAGTCTCAGAGTAGCCCTGGGCTTACTTTGCTATATGTCTTTGGGCAATTTGAGTCACCTCTTTGTTTTTCCTCATTGTCTGTAAAGGTGACTGTCAGAATCAAACCACCGTTGGGACTTGTTACCCCAAAAGAGCAAAGGAATAATTTAAAACCACTCAGTCAATGATGTCAAATGAGAATAACCGTCAGGAGAAAGATTCGCTCTGGGTCCCATCTGGAGGGAGTGAGAGCTCTCTGCTTTAGTGGCCTGATCTCTGAGCTAGGATTTTCAGATCAAACACAAGACGTTAAGTTTGAATTTTAGATAAACAAAGGAATATTTTTCTTAAGTTTAAATATGTCCCATCTAGAATCTTCTAGGATTCTGGAGCTGGAGACCCTTCTAGACCCTCTAGCCAGGGACAAGCAGCTCAAATGTCCAGAGAGATCAGGCAAATGACATCTGGTGAAATCTCCCTATTTTTAAATGTTAGCCGCCCATTCAGTTAAAAATAAAACCCACTGTGTGGACAAAAGGAAATAGCTCTGGCCAGTTTATAAACTACTATGAGGCCAAATCCTTTCAACCATTGTAAAGATGAGGAAATGCAGCCCTGGGAAGACAGGTGTCAGCAAGGCACCCCAGCTAAGGTTTCTCAAAAGATAACAGGACAGTCATCTTGGAAATGCCGAAGACAAGCAGCCTGAAAGAGCCAGGGCGGGACCATTCCATGCAGTCTAAAGAGCATTTTCCTCTCTTATCAGCTTAGAGGACTCTGAGAACATTCTGGAAGGTTGAGCAGTTGAAGTCACTGAGGATCAGAAGGGTAGAGTGTCACCCTTTGTCTAAGGTCACACGGGGGAATGTCCACAGGTAAGTCTAGGGCTATTTTTAACTCCACCTCTGATTCAGATGAGATAATACCTAAGCTTCCTCAAGGATCCTGAGGAAGGCAAACTCCAAATCCGGTTCTCTGCCTCATAAACAGAGTTGAGTCAGGAGGCCAGGCCAAGTGCTGAGACTTTTGACCCAGTTCACAAATAAAGAAGGGGTTAAGTCGTCAAGGTTCCATCCGAGTCACCAGGCTTGTCCGCACGTACCTTGTGCCTTTTGTCCCAGCAGCTTGATTTGTCTCCTGGACATCTTCACATAAGGAAGGATGTTCTGAAAGGTGTTACTAAAGATTTTGATGGGGGAAGGATGTGATCTAAGACTGGTTAGGCAAAAGAAAGCGAGAACACAAACGGAACAAGTATTTATCGAGAGCCTCATGTGTGCCATGTGCTGCGAAAGCCGTGGCCTGTAATCCTTGGCCAGCTCTTTGCGTGTCTGAATGATTCTCCCCCTCCCCCCCGTTTCAGCTCAAAATTCACTTCCTCAGAGACCTTTCCCTGATATCCTCTCCAAAGAGCCCCTCCGTCTCCCCCATCGCTCTCTTTTTAAATATATAATTTTATGTGTTTATTTTTGGCCGTGCTGGGTCTTTCTTGTGGACGGGCTTTTCTCTAGCTGAGGCAAGTCGGGACGGCTCTCCAGTTGCGCTGTGCAGGCTTCTCATTTCACTGACTTCTCTCGTGGTGGAGCAAGGCTGTAAGGCCTGAGGGCTTCAGTAGCACGTGGGCTCTAAAGCACAGGCCTAACTGCTGAGAAACTCACCCCCAATATCTCTTTAATTTGCTTGGTTTCTCCATTTCCTAAACAGCTGTGTTTATCCTGCCGGTTTAAGCACTAACCGCAGGCTCCCTGAAGGCAGGACGACCCTCAAGCGTGTGCCTAGTGCCTCAAGGGACTTGGCATGGCATGGTAGGTTTACGAATAAATATTTATGATAAGACATCTATGTTCCAGCCTGTCGACTAATTGAATATCGACTAACTGAATTTTGACTAATCATTCTTAAGTTTCCCTAAGCCTCCTGTCCTACTAAGTAGGAGGCGGAGCTAGTTCTAGGAAGAGAGAAATTGTTAGGAGAAAAAAGAATTGGCATGAAGAGCTGGTAAAGCATTTTTTCCCTCAGGTGACCCAGCAGCCTGTGAATTTTACACTTCCCGGACTGATTTATGGGATTGCTTGCAAACAAATTGTCTGTCGCGAATGAAGCCTATTTTTAAAGATTCTTGCGCCTGGAAGTTCTCGGCGGTGACATAAGAGAACCCTGAGCTCCACTCGCAAGCCAAGCCTCGCGTTCCTCCAAAACTACGGATCCCAGGATGCAACGCAGCGCGAGGGCCCAGAGCTCCGCGCGCGGCCCTCCCCTTGGAACCCAGGAGACGCCCGGAGCCCGGCCCGCCGCGCCTCCGGGGTCCGCGCGGTGCCTGCTGGGACTTGTAGTCCTTCCCCCGCCGGCTGGGAGTGCCCGCTCCGGAATCTCGGCCGCCGTCTGGGGGGCTGAGGCGGCGCGGGCACGCGTGCGCAGTGCGCGGGCGGGCCGTCGTGGGCGCCGCTCCCGGCAGCTGTGGGTGCCTGTGGGACCACCCCCGCCGCCCCACTCCCCGGACCGTGGCGGCACGGGTGCTCCGGGGGCCGAGGGCCGCCGTTGAAGTTCGGCGTGAGGAGTGTGAGGAGCGGCGCCGGGGCAGGGGTGAGCGGGGCCGGGCTCCCGGAGCGCGGCGCCGACTGAAGCGAGCTGGGAGGCTCGAGGGGCCGGCGGGCGCCGTGTAATGTTCAAGCTCAGCAATGCCTTATGTGGATCGTCAGAATCGCATTTGTGGTTTTCTAGACATTGAAGAAAATGAAAACAGTGGGAAATTTCTTCGGAGGTACTTCATACTGGATACTCCCCGAGGCGCCTCCTCAGGCGGCGTTGGCCGGCCAGCCGGCACGGCTGCACCTGGGCGAGGCCGCGGGGGGCCCGGGCTCACCTGCGCGCGTGAGGTCAGGGGCAGCGGGGGTCCCTCTTCCCGCGCGGCTCCCGCGCCCTCATTGTTTTCCTGACCTCGGCCCTCGGCGGCGTCCGGCCGAGGAGGGTGTGGGGAGCGCCCCGGGCGGCCGTCGCAGGGGAGCTCTGCGGTGACTCGGTTCAAAAGTACCGTCGCGCCCTCGCCTCCCGGTTGGCCCGGCCGGCCAGCTGTCGGGGTTGGTGGTGGGGATTCCCGGCGGGCGACGCTAGTCGAGCGGGGGTGACTTTCAGGGTTATGCCCACCCCCCACCCCCCGGAGGGGGTGCTCAGCCGCCTGGGGCACGGTTTTCTTTTTCCTGCGCTTTCGCTTTAGGACTCGCCGAGTCAGAAGTCGACTCCGCCCAGTGTACCCCCGCCGGCACCCTGCAGTATTCGCGCTTTTTTACCCTCTCACTTTCGTGGTTCAATGACCATAGGGTGGAAAAAGTTGGAAGTGACTCGTCCAGGGTCACGCAGGTAGGACGGAGGAGGCGAACCCAGGTCTTGAAAGCTTAAGAGGCCAGCAGCTGCCAGTCTCACCGCTTTGGGACCTGCTTGAATGGTTTGTGGTTTCTTTCGGATGCTTTCTATTGACCGTCCTGGATAGACCATCAGAGGGGAGAGTGTTGTCATAATGAAAGTGGCGTTTGGTAGAATTCTAGTTGTGTTGTGCCCCACGGCAGAGCATCTGACCCCGCTGGGCACCTCAGCAATGGAACTAGATCGTTGTTGTTTGGAGGCAGATCTAAGAGGAAGTTATAGAAGATATAGGCAGGCAATTTGTGCCATTTTTCCTCCTCCTATTTCACCTTCCAGTCCTATAATACTTGTTTTCTTATTTTACGATTGATCGTTGTCAGTTTTGTTACGATTTTCTTTGCTTTAACGAAGCCATTGCCATTTGTGAATTAGTTTTTCAACTAGAAAAATCTTATTTCCTGTGTGCTTAATGACTGGAACCAATAGCGCACTATGCGGTTTATACCTTTGTGTTTTATCCTAGAACTACTGATCAGTCGGCTTTATTTCCCCCAAGCACTCGGCTTCCAAACTTTCTGGGTTAGTTTAATGCCGTTGAAATACTTCTCAGTAAAATTTGGGTACCCTTTATATGATTCAGACAAAAACTTGGAAAATTAATTTTGTAAAACTGTTTTTCTTCGCAAAAGACTGAAGAATTGTTATTTAAAAAAAAAAATAGTAAGATTCTTTCTGACTAAAAAACCTATTTTTTTCATACTCAAATTTTCATATTAACATGTTTGTGGCAAAAAATATTTCCCTGAAGAGTTTGTTTAAAATATCCTTAATTTGGCCATATCTCCCCAGGGGAAATGACATGTTAGAATATTTGCAAATTTAAACAAGAATATTTAAGCTTAGCAGAATTTGAGTTAATAGTTTTGTAGAGCTGTAAACCCTACAGTGTATCCATTGACAGGGTTCTCTTGAAGAGTATATCCATATCAAAGGATATGGCCATGACTTTGTGGTGAGCAGAGGATAACTTTTGTGACATTGAGAAGATGTGATTTGTGTAAAACTGCTTTCTACCTCACTTTATCTTGTTAATTAGTATTTTTATTGTTGCTTTGGATAAAGGCGGGAAGTAGCAGGTTTGTATCCCCCCTTTCCTAAGTTTTAGCAACATAGCAAAATAGGAAAGAACTGGTGTGTAAATTTGAGTTTGTCATGGACTAGGAGAGACAGTGAAACAGGATAAGTAAACAATTGTTAGGAAGCTGCCTTGAGTTCATAAGCCGGAAGGACCTTTTTAGAATTGTTTAAGGACATTAAGAATAGCATTGAGTTATTTTCTTTAAAAAGTCACTGTGGGCAATACTCACAGGTTGGTTGTTAATATATAGGATGTGATATTGAAGACTCCTTAAAAAGTACTTGAGAAAGGTGGAAACATTTTATCTTTTTATAAGGCATTTTCTCAAAAAACATTTAATGCAGCTTAAAAAAAATAAGACCTTTATTTAAACCTGAAAGTTTTTACAACCCTACTGCCAAACCCACAGTTACTTCTGCTGATGACAATTTGTAATCCAGAATAAAATCTGTGAAGTAATTTATTAGTGTAATTTAACTTGGGCTTTCACATTGACGCACTGCTTGATGTTAAATAATTATTCTTGTTTAAATAATTGTCATTTAAGAATGAGGGAGATAGTTTTCTGAACAAAATGTAGTAATTAGTCAGATGTGACAGTAGTTACATTCTGCCTTTATTAGAAAATTTCAAGTTCTGTGGCGGTAACTGCCAAAGTTGTGAACTGAGGTAATATACACATACTGCTTTTTTACATGCTTGAGTATTTTACTTTTGATAATATTAAAATTTGATTTAAAATTTCAAAATGATTGCCTTGCATTTAGATCTACAATAATACAATAAAATGGCTTTGGAGATAAATATTAAAATTTAGCTTTACTTCTTTTGAGCATTTGTAAGTCCATAGCATTTGGAAATTTATTTACTGGTATCAGGAAAGACTTCTTAGGGTAGAAACTTTCTGTGGCTTTAGACACTTGTCTGTAATGCTTAATTATTTTTAGAAACATAAAAGTGTAGGATTTTTCAAATATAAAGATAAAAATTGTTGGTATTTGCTATAGCCGTAGGACTTTGTTGTGCTTAATGAGTGACATCAAACCATTTGAACTCTGAGTGATTTCTTTTCCTAGTAGCTGCTGTATGATAAAGAACATGTGAGTTTGTAATTCCTAGAAGATATTTAAGCAAACATGTGTTTGTTGTTTATTTTGGTAAGTCTTTGATTAGCTGAGTTGCTTTGATTCAGGAAGATGGTATTTTGAGGGTTTTATATTGTAAACATTCTTTGAACTGAAATTTCTGTTGAATATAAAAGAAAATCAAAGTCATTAAGGATTTTTTTTTTAACACTTAAGTCTACTTAAGTCGTGAGAGTTTTAAAGATATTGAAGTCTTAAATATTTTTTCCTTCATGAAACTCTTATCAGACTTATCAATCTGAGAGTTTTATTGTTCAAAAAGTTGTGGTTTTACTCTAGTGGGCCTTTAATAGTTTACCCATTAAAATCTGGATTCTGGATTCAAGAAGTTTAACCTCTTTTGAAGAAAGGACAGTCACAGACAGAATCGGAAGCACTCTCAGAGGACTTCTGATGTAGCGTCTTACCAGGTACAGTAAATCCCCCATGGGAATTTCCACATCAGGTGTTCCTCTCATTAGTCCGGGCAGTGATGCTGTCCCATATGTCCTCAGGTCATTGAGCAGTCTGAGCTTGGTGAGGACCAGACTTAAGACGGTTATATGTTTCAGCATCGACTGCTTTGAACCATGCTTTGTTGGATCTTCCCTCTTGCTACCTCATGACTCCATAGGCAAGTGGTAGCTTTTCTATCATTTACAGCTTTTAAAAGCTCCAGTTTAATCTATTTCAGTTTAGACCTTCAGTCTGTGAAAGCCCCTCTTTTCCTTTACCCCAATATCTGGCCACTTCATCCCCAAAGCACTTGCAGTGGGGAGGGATTGTTGCATGCTCCCTGGATAGCTCTTTTCCTCTTTGTCGGTCTATTTGGACAGGGACTGGTTAGAAGAAAAATGGGAAAAGGCAACTATCTCTCACCATCTTAATAAAGTTCTCTCATAACTAACAATGGCAGGCCACTAATGTTGACTGGTAGGCTTCCAAAGGGGAAATTTTGGTGAGATCTTGCAGGGAAACGCCCCACTGCACAGTCCCTGGATGTGAAATTTGCTGCGGGTAGACCTTTACCAACCTACACTCCATCCTCCTTGTTTCTGTCCTCTCAGTCTGCCCGCTGATTCGTATGAGTGTTTGGGGATGAGGTGGGTTTCACTCTGCCATCCAGAGTTTTTGATAACAGAAAGACAACTCAAGTCCAGCTACCTGCTGTAATTTTCACCTAACTCACTGGAAGCTTACTTCCTCTTGATGCCAGATGGCAGCACGCAGGCTGCTTAAGTCTGCACCCTTTCTGTGTGCTGCCTGCCGTTTCTCAACAATTCTCCTTGTCCCCCTGCTCACACAGGCCCCGGGACACTCACTCAGTCTCCCTCATAAGCCAACATCGAACTGGAGAATGAGTAACGCTCTCTGCTCCTTGTGGGCGCTTCTGATCTTGGTGAATGATTCTCTTGGGGCCCCCTTCCACAGTTTGTGGGTAGATATCATCTGCCTTCCAGTACCCTTTTGCTTGGAAAATCCCATGGACAGAGGAGCCTGGCAGGCTGCAGTCCATGGGGTCGCTAAGAGTCGGACACAACTGAGTGACTTCACTTTCACTTTTCACTTTCATGCACTGGAGAAGGAAATGGCAACCCACTCCAGTGTTGTTGCCTGGAGAATCCCAGGGACGGGGGAGCCTGGTGGGCTGCCGTCTATGGGATCTCACAGAGTCAGACACGACTGAAGTGACTTAGCAGCACCAGCAGCAGCAGCATCTTCCTTTCTCTGTGTTCTTCCTGAACACTTGGAATACTTTTCTTTTTTCTCCCTGTCTTCTGTCAGTTGATTGTATAGAGTGGAATGATGATAAGGCATTGGTTAGGGTACCACAGCCCTGAGTTGTGTGTGTGGGAGGGGGGGTGGTGGTGTTGGTGCCAGACTTCATGGATGTTTGATCCTTGATGACTATATATCTTTGGCTTTGTGTTTGTCAACAGTTTTGGGACAAGACTACTCCCACTCAACTTCTAATCAACAAACAGTACTGAAGTCTTGTGGGCCTCATGAAGTCGCACTGTTCAGAATTTTATTTTCTTTTCTTTCTCTCTTTCTGATTTTTGTTTTATTTTTGACTCACTTCATGGTTCCTGACTGATAAGTGTTTTTAACTGTGTGCATCAATTAATGAGTGTTTGTATACGCTAACCACTCCTAAGAACACAAGTAAATCTGAAGGATAGATTTTGTGGTGGTTTTAATAATACAATTTTATCTGTTCTATCATCTGAGCAAATCAGTTAAGTCTCCTAAACAATTTCTCATCAGATGAGGAAAAAGCAGCTTTCTGTCTGGAAACTTAAATGTTCATATTTGATGCAATAATTATAGGTTCCTTAATATTTCATTCAGCAAATTGTTACTGAGTCCCTTCCATATTCTAGCCACTGTTTTAAGCACTGGAGAAACAATAGTAAATAGAAAAAGAAAATGTTGCTGTCATGAAGTTTACTTTCCAGTGTTGGGAAACAGACAAGAAATAGATAAATAAGTAAATGATACTGTTTGTTAGCAATAAATACTAAGAAGAAGAATGAAGCAGGGAAGGGAGATGGGAAGTGGCACGACAATTTGGAGCATTTTCAGTTTTCGATAGGATGTCAAGAAGGCTTCACTGAGAAAGTGATAATTGAGTTAAAAGGCTGTGAGTGGGGAGCTTGTCTAGTGTAGTAGGCATCCAGTGGCCAGATGTGTAGCCAATCACGGGGGCTTGGGACAGGTTGAGTCGGGTAGGGGAAGCCTGTGTATCTTTGTAAGAGCTTTGGTTTTTACTTAGAATGCGATGGGATTGAATTAAAACAATGATTCTTAACCCTGGCTGAACATGGGAATTATTGGGGGAGCTTTAAAATGTACTGATGCTTAGATCCCATCTCCAGAGTTTCTGATTTAGTTGGTCTGGATGCTCTAGTCTAGGCATCAGGTAATTCTAATAAGCAGCTAAAGTTGCAGAGTTTTTTTGAGCAGAGTGACATTATGCAGTATTGAAGAGCATGGGCTTTAGAGCCGGATTCCTCTGGTTTGGATCCTGGCTCTGCTACTTCCTAATCGCACGACCTTGGACAAGTTATTCTTAAAACCTGTGCTTTGGAAGAGATCTTAGAGAAAGGAATTCCCTGGAGGTCCAGTGGTTAGGACTCCACACTTCCACTGTAGTGGGCCTGGGTTCAATCTCTGGTCATGGAACTAAGAGACTCATGGATCTCTGCTCAATGTTACGTGGCAGCCTGCATGAGAGGGGAGTTTGGGGGAGAATGAATACATGTATATATGTATGGCTGAGATCCTTTGCTGATCACCTGAGGCTGTCATATCATTGTTAATCAGCTATACCCCAATACAAAATAAAAAAGTTAAACAAAAAATCTTCGGTTCTTTGGTTTTCTCATCTGTAAAATTGTTGTTATAAGGATTAAATCAAATGAATGTTTACTTGCAAATATTGAATAAATACTTGACTATGTGTTTTAATGAGATCACTGACAGCTTTATGGAGAATGGAGTGAAGCAGGCAGGAAAGCCCTTGGAATAATCCAACTGAGAGGTGATGGTAGCTTGGGCCAGAATGGCAGCAATATGTCTGGTGAGAAGTGGTGGGATTCTGGATGTATTTAGAAGATGGAGCAAATAGGATTTGCTTATGGATTGGACATGGAACAAAAGAAGTCTTGATCCAGTGTGACCCAGATTTTGCCTGAACAGCTGGAAGAAGCAAGTGACTATTTACTGAGATGGGAAGGACAGAGGGGAGCAGATTGCTGAGGGAGTATATCTGCGCCCAGTTTGTTAAGTGTGAGATGCCTCCACTATCTCCCGAGGTTTGCTCAAATTCATGTCCATGGAGTCAGTAATGCTATCCAACCATCTCATCCTCTGCCACTCCCTTCTCCTTTTGTCTTCAATCCTCCCCAGCATCGGCGTCTTTTACAATGAGTCAGCTGTTTGCATCAGGCGGCCAAAGTTTTGAAGCTTCAGATTCAGCTTTGGTCTTTCGGGTGAATATTCAGGGTTGATTTCCCTTAGGATAGACTGGTTTGATCTCCTTGCAGTCCAAGGGACCGTCAGGAGTCTTCTCTAGCACCACAGTTTTAAAGCATTGATTCTTCGGTGCTCAGCCTTTTTTATGGCCCAACTCTCACATCCATACATGGCTACTGGAAAAATCATAGCTTTGACTATACAGATCTTTCTCAGCAAAGTGATGTCTCTGCTTTTTAATATGCTGTTTAGGTTTGTCATGCCAGTCCATTTTAGTTTGCTGATTCCTAAAATGTCGATGTTCACTCTTGCCGTCTCCTTTTTGACCACTACCAATTTGCCTTGATTCATGGACCTAACATTCCAGGTTCCTATGCACTATTGCGCTTTACAGCATTGGACTTTGCTTCTATCACCAGTCACATTCATAACTGGGTGTTGTTTTTGCTTTGGCTCTGTCTCTTCATTCTTTCTGGGGTTGTTTCTCCACTGATCTCCAGTAGCATAATGGGCACCTACCGACCTGGGGAGTTCATCTTTCACTGTCTTATCTTTTTGCCTTTTCATACTGTTCATGGGTTCTCAAGGCAAGAATACTGAAGTGGTTTGCCATTCCCTTCTCCAGTGGACCACGTTTTATCAGAACTCTCCACCATGACCTGTCCATCTTTGGTGGCCCTACATGGCTTGGCTCATAGTTAATCATTGAGTTAGACAAGCTGTGGTCCATGTGATCAGATTGGCTAGTTTTCTGATTGTGATTTTCAGTCTGTCTGCCCTCTGATGGAGAAGGATAAGAGGCTTATGGAAGCTTCCTGATGGGATAGACTGACTGAGGGGGAAACTGGATCTTGTTCTGATGGGCAGGAATCATTTTAGGAAACAGCAAACTAAAATGAACTGGAATGGGTGAATTTAACTTGGATGACCATTGTATCTACTACTGTGGGCAAGAATCCCTTAGAAGAAATGGAGTAGCCATCGTAGTCAACAAAAGAGTCCAAAATGTAGTACTTGGATGCAATCTCAAAAAGGACAGAATGATCTCTGTTTATTTCCAAGGCAAACCATTCAGTATCACAGTAATCCAAGTCTATGCCCCAACCAGTAATGCTGAAGAAGCTGAATTTGAACAATTCTGTGAAGACCTACAAGACCTTCTAGAACTAACACCCCCCAAAAGGTGTCCTTTTCATTATAGGGGACTAGAATGCAAAAGTAGGAGGTTAAGAAACACCTGGAGTAACAGGCGAATTTGGCTTTGAAGTACAGAATGAAGCAGCTGCTGCTGCTGCTAAGTTGCTTCAGTTGTGTCTGACTCTGTGACCCCCATAGATGGCAGCCCACCAGGCTCCCCCATCCCTGGGATTCTCCAGGCAAGATCACTGGATTGCCATAGATGGCAGCCCACCAGGCTCCCCCATCCCTGGGATTCTCCAGGCAAGAACACTGG